GAGGACCTCAGGTCGGTGGGGTGGGCTGGGAAGGGGAGTGGAGCCCAAATCAGCGAGCGCTCGATAACGCCTGAGAGCAGAGGCGCTCGCTCGCTCGCTCACCCTGGCTGTCACCGTCCGAAGCAGTGACAGAGACGACAACGAGGACGCGGGTGGGAGAGGACGCTGAGACGGTAGGGATTCGGGGTTTTCTGCTCTTCTAACGGAGAAGAGGCCGGGCCGGCTGAGCCCCGACAGGACACCTCGGGAGCTCAGGGAGGACGGCGGCTGCCGCGGAGGCTCGGATGGTGAGCTCCGGGCCCGGGACAAACGACACCAGACCGCAGACGGAGGGGGGCGCCGAAAGTCCCCGGGGCCCGGACGGGGCAGGGTCTCCGCTGGGGTCAGAGCCCCCAAGACGCCCGGTCACTCGGGGCCAGAGACACGAAGTCCCAGCCTCGACTGCCAGCTTCAAGTCCACCCCTCACCGCAACGGGACTGGAGAACCGAACACTTGTGCATGAGCCACCAACCAGCGAAACGCTCCAGCCTTAGCAGCAGCCGCCAAGTGAGCAGCCCGCGCGCTCTCACACTCTCCGACCTCGGCGCCGCAGCCACGGGTCTCGCCAGGTCACCGTAATAGGGGAGCGACAGCCTCCCACTCGCCCCTGCCCGGCCACCGTACTCAGAGGGACGGCTTCGCGCCCGTCCCCGGCCGGCCACCGTACTTGGAGGGATGGCTTCAAGCAAAAACTACGCCCGGTCATTTACGTGCACTTTCGCCTGCTCAGGGCGGCCGTGACCTATGATTTGGATTGTTTTCTCCACCTGTTCTTCCCCACCCTCACCCAGTTACCATTGTGGCGAGAGAGCATCTGTAAGCAGTGTCGCTCTGGTAGGAAAACCGCATCACGGCCGTTCTGAGGCCTAACGAAAAATTGGACTTCCACTCCCAGCATGCCAGGCGACTGTCTCGGCGCGAACTACAAGACCCGGCATGACCCGCTCCCACTGTCCTCGCGCCCCCACCAGTGTAGATCTGCAAGAAGACCCGCGTTGCTAAAAATACCCATGTTCAGTCTCCGTCTGCTGCAGGAGTACGCCAAGCTAAACTACAGCGAGGACTGACGATTAGGCACTTGAAAAACATTCCGAGATATGTGCACTCGTTTTCTACATTTAGATTCAAGTATTGAAACAAAACAGCCTGGTGAGGCCTCACTCTTGAGAGATGTTGGGAAAAATACTAAATTATTGCACAATGTAATCCTGGGTCCTGTTGCAGTACCCCGTATTCTAGTGGTGCAAAGGTTACCAGACGTGATCCTGGCATGCATAGGAAATTACTGTAGAAGCAAAAAGTAAAAATAAAAATAATAATAATAATCCATACTACCAGACTATGAAACCGTATCAGAATGAAAACCTTACAGAATAAAGGGTTGAAAAATTCAATATTAAACTCGAAACATGTATTTCAATTTTTAATGTGGTTAGTGGTTTGCAATCATTTATTTGTATTCTCACAAAAACAGGTAACTAGAATAAACAAATCTATTTTCTATTCACATGATGGGGCCATACCAATCAAACAGTATGACATTCATTAAATTGAGCAAACAAAATAACTGTTTTCTTGCCTGATTAAACAGCCTGTGGTTCCATTTTTTAAATTCAGAGCTCTGACTACTTAGGAGAAATAGCATGAATCAAATAAGCCATCTGTGTGCTTTTCTTAACTTCCATAAAGATGTGGATTGCAAGAAAGAATATATCAAACAGGCCATGAGAAACAGTTCTTGGGTCTCATAAAATAACTGATAATTATACAAAATTAAATTGTGAGTGTATCACAAACATTGACTTTTTAATGGAGTTATAGTGAAACATTTTAATTGGTTAGAAGAGGGGAAAAGAACACCTTTCCTTTTTACAACTTCATGTAGAAGTCACAGAGGGACATTATATTCTGTAACACTGACACGGCATCAGCTACCATGCAAACTGCTTTCTGACTCCAGTGTGCTAAATTATGCAACACTAGCAACTGAATATTTAAAATCTATGATCATGGAAAACAATCTTCACCTTTCCATACTCGTGCACCAGAACAATATGCATCCAGTGAAAGAGACCATTTCCCCCGGAGTGATTAAAAAGTAATGTCAATAAACTATAATTAGGTTATCTGATATTCATAGGCATTTATAGTAAATAAACATATAATTGCAGCCACTTATTAGTAACGTTATTAAGAAAGCTTTAACATATGCTAAATATTTGATATAGATATTTGTGCAGCACTTTTAGTGATCAATTGTGTAAATGAATATGGAAGAGTTAAAAGTACATAATTTATGTAACAGACGATGTCTTTTGAAGAATTTTTTCACTGCTAAATATGGTTGTCTTTATTTTCTTTTTCCTTGCCCAGCCCTATCTAAACATAAAATAAAGCTACAGCACTAAAATTAACAATCCATTAAAATCAATGTTATGAAAATCATAAAGCTTTTAAAAGTAATTAAGGGTGATTAATTTATTTAAAGTATACAAAATCCAAAGGGGGGGGGGCGCATGAAGGTTTCCTGGGTAAGCTTGAAGACCAGAGGGAAACCTTGGCGTTTGAAAGACTATAGGAATATGTGACATCAAAGTACAGGCTGGGATTTCATTTAGAAGCAAATAACATTTCTGAAAATAGAACAGCAACAATGGCACCTGTACAGCGGGACTGTGAGACAAGACTGTAGAAAATGGAGGCAAATGTTCGCAGCAAAACGAAATCAGTGCTGAACTTAACTATGTTAAAACTATGATAGTGTGTCTACTATGGATATCAGATGGTTAGAAACTGGTTAGGGCAATGATTCTAAAAGCAAAAACACCATTGACGTTTTTCTACCTAGCCCAGACCACATTCCTTCTGTGCATATAAAGAGACGTTATTATCAAATGCTGCATCGAAATAGATTTTCCCAATGTTTTTCCACTATGAAAGACATCTATGTTTACTTATGGAGAGATTTAAAAAGATTCTTGCACCTGTAGCACTCAGCGGTATTCTTTCCTCTCGAGTCTTTGCTTTGCACTTGTGCTAGTTACCAACTGCACAAGAGTCAAAATTGAACAAGTTGTCCATTTTGGTTCAACAAATAGTTGATGAGTGCTATAAGGCAAAGCACTCTTTAGTACTACAAGCTGTTTCTGAAGCCCAGAAAGCTTTCATAATTAGCAGAAATTTAATGTTACAAAAGTTGAATGCAGCCTTGATGAGATGAGTAACTTGTAGACTTCTAAAGGCTAAAAATTTGTTTTTTACTGCCTCACTAGTGCAAGGACCCGGATCCAATCCCCATACCACCCCCCCAAAAGGCAATTCTGGGAAAGCTACTCCCAGCTTAGCTGACAGTATAAAAATTTGTTTTTTAAAACTTGGTAAAACCTTTTCCTTTCCAAATGACCATATTGCCGGCCTTTTTCCTACATCTTCAATTTCCACCTTTCCACTGCCTCCTTCACCTCAGTCCACAAACATGCACAGGATCCCCACAATTTTGAAAACATCATCAGTAGACTCAGCTTCTCTACCCAATGAAATGTTTTTCTATCTTCTTTTTCCTTTGAACTCATTCCAGCAAGTGCTACAAAGAAAACCTTAGGCCTGACATGATCCACAGGATGTCTTCACAGCAACTAATACTTGAACATCCACATCTATACCAGGTCCTGGGAATGTAAAGAAATTCAGATGTGAGCGTATGGTCCCATGATACAGAGTGGCAGACACTGTGATAGAGGTGTGGACAAGTGCTAAGATCACAAGGAAAGTCGGCTACTCTCAAATCAAAGAACCCCAGAAGAGGAAGCTCCTGAAACCATTTAAGTGATAAAAATGAGAATCAACTACTGGCAAAAGAGAGTGGCTCAACCACTGTAAGATAGATTTATTATAGTGGGCCCATGAGCATGGGTTGGTGGGAGTGATATGTGTGGTGTATGAAGTTCAAGCCTGTCTGGGCCAGGTGTACCACACTCCTGTCTCCTGAGCTACCTCGGAGACCTTGCTAAAGCTGAGCTAACTACCCTAAGTGCATAGATGCTGGGTCCAACAGCCTACACCTCCGCCCCTAGTCCATGACTCATTCTCCTGCCCAAGAAAAATCACTCCACCTTGCCTCCAATAAGATATCGCCAAATGTTAAATGCTCCTCCCATGCTCCGCCCCCATGTTGTCTCTATATAAGCCTGTGCGTTTCCTGAATAAAGTGGAAGCATTCCAGAATCCTTCCCGGAGTCTGATTGTTGACTCTTTTTAGCCTCCCAATCTGAGCTCCTGAACATTGTTCCGCGAGCAGGCTCAGCAGACAACAGCTGGCACCCAATGTGGGGCTCGCATATACTGGGTAAATATGAAAGCTGCGGGTAAGGATCCCTATTATGGGTAATCTCTAAAGTTAAGAATGGCGGTACAGGCCGCCTTACTAAAGGGTTCTCATGCAGTAAAGGCATTTCCAGCCCAAACTCAGGCCGAATGTAGGGCCCCCTGAGCACTCTAAAGACGGCAGACGAAAGCCTCTTTAAAAAGATGGGGCAGGCGGGCTGTCTCTTCTGCTTTCTTCTTCCCCAAAGGCGTCAGCCCCGCCCGCTGGTCTGTCACTTCCTGTGGATGACATGCCCCCGCCAAAACCCCCTCCTTACTGGAATAATGGTCATTCGGAAGAGCCCACCTTTTCCGGTCCAAGAAGACGGAGTCCACCCCGTGCACCGCTATCTTACCAATCCTGTGAATCATTCTTCTCGGACTCTGAGGGCCTGTGGTGGGCGGGGCGGGGGGTGGCTCGGCCTGGGCCTGGGGCAGCTGGGGCTGCGGCAGGTGTAGGTGTAGCTGTTCCAGGTCCGAGGCGAGCAATGCCCCCGGCGGGCCACCTGGCACCAGGTGTGGGCACAGGAAGGCGGTAGGGTGAGGT